GCCTGATGGAAGGCCTCTTCCTCCTCTCTGGTACTCTTGCACCTACTCCATGACCTGCCTGATGGAAGGCCTCTTCCTCCTCTCTGGTACTCTTGCACCTTCCTGCAGGACTGGGGCCCAGCAATGTGCATTTTCTGACAACTATGTCAAGCGTCCAGATGAGCCTATGTGATTGGTTCACATCCAGGAAGAGAAATAGTTTATTTTAATACTGAGTTGACCACTTGGGAAGTCAATTAGGAAACTGCTCCATGGAGTAGTCAGAGATCTGAGATTCAGAACTAAGAGAGGGGGCAGTAAGAATAAAGATGAGAAGGGCTTAAAGCAACTGAAGAGAAAGAATCAATAGAATTTGATGACTGGTTGGATAAGGGAGCAAGAGATTGGGCAAAGGCCAGAGATCATGCTTTATTTGTGGTTCAAAAAATTGAAGTAATAAGAAGCCATTTATTTCTTTTACAAGACCAAAAGCAAATTTGGGGCGAGGCTGCTGTGATGACTTTAGTTTCATGTAATTGATCCATAGCTGTGTCTGTAAGGCATCTAAGTTGTGATGCTCAGTGTTTAGCTGAATATAAGGTCTGCAGATCAGGCAAGAGTCTGGGCCTGAGATACACATCTGAAAATCGAATATTTTTAAAAGGGCAGAATAGTTAAAGGTGTTGAAGTCAAGAAATCACATATGATAACTGGAACCTACTGAATTCACCACGAGAGACTACTGATGAATATGGCAATTAGACTTTTAGTGATGTAGTGGGGGCAGAAGCTGTAACTCAGAGGATAAAAGAGTAAATTGGAAAGTGAAGGAACACTTTATTCATACAATAACAGGTGGATTTTGACCTCATCTCAGAATTAAAAAACATAATTATTTATGTATTTTCTAAAACATTCAAAATGAAGTCTGATTACATGCTGTGTGACTCATCCCTGTAATCTTAGCACTCTGCAAGGCAGCGACAGGAGGCTTGCTTGAGGCCAGGAGTTCAAGACCAGCTTGAGCAACATAGTGAGATCTCATCTCTACAAAAATTTTAAAAATTAGCTCGTTGTGGTGGTAAGCACCCATTGTCCCAGCTATTCAGGAGGCTAAGGTGGGAAGATTGCTTGAGGCCATGAGTTCGAGGCTGTAGAGTGCTATGATCGCACCACTGTTCTCTAGCCTGGATGCCAGAGCAGGACCTTGTCTCTAAAAACAAAGAAGTTTTCTACCTATTTTCCATTTCTGTTCTCTATAATCTCTTGCCAAGGTAGTTTATTTTAAAGAAGTAGCGTATACAAAATGTTTAGCACAAAGCCTAACATAGTCAGTGTTCAGGTAATGTAACTACAGGCATTTCTAATTATCCGAATCTGATCCAGTCCTGAAAACATATGGGAGGGCAAATTTATGTGCCCCAGGAGACAATATTTTATTACTGTAAGTGGGAAAGCTAACACATAGTATTTCATTCTTAGTACAGGTAAAACCTCAATAGTCCCTTTACACATCATTAAAACTCTCTTAAATATCTATGTAATAATCTACTAAAGATTTATATATTATAAAAAGCACTTAGTACTTGATTATTTAACATTTAATGAACACATTAAGTCTGGGTATAGTGGTTCATGCCTGTTATCCCAGCACTTTGGGAGGCTGAGGCAGGAGGATTGTTTAAAGCA